AAAATAGGCTGATTTATAAAGGTGCTAGTTTTGTATGTTGGAAAGGTTATAAGGCGAGCTTAACTTGGTTAATGCAAATTATACGTTCATTCGGCATGTAACTATTAATCCATTATACATGACTATTTTAACGACACAATCGTATGTGCACGATTGAAAGAAATTAACATGCTGTTACATTTACAGTAAATGACCAAACAAAACTATAACAAGGCAAACAGTAAAACCAAAGGAATCGATTTCTTGATTCGGGTGCTTTATTCAATTTTGTTTTATTTTTTAAAATGTGAGAACTCATTTGAGTGAGAACTCAAATGACAAAAGCGATAACATAAAAGCAGTTTAAAAAATCGAAAAATAATGCACCAACGTTTCTTCAACACATAAAATATATTTCCATTGATTCCCGATAACTTAGGGGCCGTCCATAAATGACGTCACGGAGGGGGGGGGTCAGACATTTGTGACGATGTGTGACGAGAGGGGGGGGGGGGGTGAGAAATGTGACGTCACATCAAAATGCGAACTTTAAATATTAACAAAATATAATTGTATAACACTCATTTTGATGAATTTTCATTATGAACTATTTTATTATTAAAATTTACTAAGGTCACCTTTTATTTATCCCATGACGGAGCATTTTGCATCTCCATGGGAGAATGAAGAAGCATACATGTTGTCAATTGTTATAATGTTATTAAACATTTTTATTCTAATGATTCTACGAGGGCTTTTCATACTGTGGAATGAATATGTGATTGTTATAAGCGTGCTACTACAAAGTTTCAAATATTTTTTTATAGCTACAATTACTTTTAATATTTTATAATTATAAGACAATTTCAATATAATATTCTGAACATCTGCAGTTTTAGTTAGACGTTTAATATTTTCACGTTAATTTTATGCTAAATGTTAGCTTTCCAACGCCTCCTTTTTAATAAATGTTTTCTCCTACAACATCAGAGTGCAGCGCCACATTAAATACGCACTACAATGACAATAGTTTAAAGTGGAGCGGGGCAGAGCTTTGTGACGTCATATCTGACTTTGTGACGCCACGTGACGAGGGGGGGAGGGTATAAAATCGGCCAAAATCGCATGACGTCATTTATGGACGGCCCCTTAAGGCAAATAAAACGCATGACACGGTACAATACAAACGAAATAAAAAAATGTCTATTTTTAAATCCTTTATATTAAGTTCGCTTGCTTGCTTACGACCGTGCAAATCTTTCGGTCGTTTTTTTAACCCACTTCCCGTGATCCAATCGAGCTGACATTTTCCACACAGACTCGTTGTGCGTGACAATTAATGTTCGTGAAATTTTTTAAAAATTTTACACTTTTTAGGACAAAAATATTATATTTAATTACCAATTGCTTAATGGTGCAATGCAATCATCTGACCCATAGGTGGCAGCCATCTCAAGCCAGAGGACGAGAGGACTCTAGCCGCCACGCATATAAAGGATTTATAGTGAAAAACTTTGTTTTTACGGGTTAATTTTTTAAGTGTCAAACAAACACGTAAACGTCACCATGTTCCCACGGCGATGATGTTAGCACGGACTCCGCACGTTCTTACGTTCCCGCGGTAAAATGACGTCACCGCCTTACCCCGCAAGCCACCACTTAAGAACACGTTCTCGTGACGTCACCACATTGTAACCGTGATGTCGACAATAATGACGTCATCTGCACGTACATTCGCATTCGTCACCGCGTCAACACAGTTCTGGCGGCGATGACGTCACACCCACCGGGGGCGAGGCAGCGGGGGGGGGAAGGTGTGACGCCTACGTCACGGCAAGCCCCCCCCCTCCACCTCACCCCTTCGCTCAACGTCACCGCGTATTCGTGACGTCACCGTATTCGTGACGTCACCACGCTTCACGGATAGTGGGTGGGGGGGCAACGGTACGGCGGCGGGAACGTGCCGGCGCCGTGACGTCACCGCGTCGCGGCACAGGCGTGTGGACGCGATGACGTCACCGCGGCACACGACGACGTGCGACGTGGTGACGTCACGGCACACGACGACGTGCGACGCGGTGACGTCACCGCGTGAACGCCGACGCCGCCGAATCGTGAACTCCGTCGACGTGGCCACGCGGAGGCGGCGGCGGCGATGAGAAGAAGCAGCAGCAGCAACAGCAGAAGCAGCAGCAGCAGCAACAGCAGCAGCAGTAGCAGCAGAAGCAGCAGAAGCAGCAGCAGAAGCAGCAGCAGCAGAGGGGGGTGACCGCGAGTGTGCGGCGGCAAGGTTGGCGGTGGAGGTGGAGGAGGTTTCTAGGAGGCCGGGCTTCTCTATTCCCTTGTTTGTCTGCAGGCTGACGTGAGGTGAGGGGAGAGAGAGACACACACCAAGACTTCGGCTGGTTCGTGGCGACGGTAACAAGCAAAGTCATTAATGTCCAGTGCTGTGTCTTTTTCAGCAATATTTGCTGTCTTTGGATTTTTTAAGATGTTTTTTGTTCATGTTTTTGTTTTTTGTTTTGTTGCGGTTGCACCCGATTCGAGAGCCGAATGGCTCACAGGGCTATACCTAATAAATGAACTTGAACTTGTCTTCAAAGACGTTTGGTTGGCGTGGAAGAGTAGGCCGAATACACTTTAAGCAGTGTCCGTGACCAAGCGATTGTGCAGAGCCACGCAATTTTTTCTACGTTTTTTTTCTTTAAAGCTTTATTTGTGGATTCGGTGACTTGCCTTGGGCCGTGTGTGTGTGTCTTCCCCGGGGCTGCCAGGATCGAGCCTGAAACGTCGGTCAAGGATAGAGAAGAAGGTTTTGGGGGGGGGGGTAAAATGACTTTAAAAGCCACAACAGCGCCCTTGTGACGTCATCGCGCCTGTGACGTCAGCGCGCGGAGGCCGTGGTGCGTTCGTTTCGACGTCAAACTCGGGCCGGCGGTCAATTTTAATTGTTAATAATAAAGGTTTTTGGGTTCGATCGCGTTATTATTTATAAATGTGTCGTAACCCTGCACCACCCGACACGGCCAATCAGTCAAAAAAAGTGTCACGTTGACAAAAGACATTACAACTTTAGCCCACCTGTGCTTTGAGTGAATTCACAACATTATAAATAACGCGCTCTAACCCCAAAAAGCTTTATTATGAATAATATTGTTCGCGAAAGCCTACATGTTAATTTTATTATCTCATTAGGTATATTTTGGTTCTTTCGGTAAAGTCACGTAGAAGGGAAATAGTAAAATAATACAAATATAAAACAATAAATTCTCACGACATTTCGACTGCAACACAAGCAATCGTCATCAGGTGTGAAATCCACAAAATAAATCAAAATTGATCTCATTAGTTGTAAAAAAGAATCTAAATCTTAACGAAAAATAACAAATCATTTATTTTTATTTTATATTTTTTTACCTACGTGACTTTACCGAAAAAACCTAAGAATATGAATCCTTGCAGTCACGAAATCTTCAAATCTAGAATTAGGCTCCCTCCTCTGAGCATCTCGCGAGGCAAATCACGTGCAAGCCCCCTCGTCGTCGTCGTTATAAATCCACTGCTGGATTGACCGGCCACGCCGCACGGGTCGGTTATGGTTAACTTGTGACGGCAGAAAGCATGAGAGACCAGAGCATATTAAATACTGTACAATACGACGAATTATATTCTGACATGACTTAGAATGATTGAAAGCAGACGACGTTTTTTATTATTACATTATTCTATATTAACTTCTTTTCACCACTGTTTTATTTGAACACCATTATTCATGTATTAACCGGTGAACTTGTTAAATGCGAATATACCCGTTGATTGGGACCCTTTTGACTTGATGATGAGGTTTGGTTGGGTAACGTTACTTGCAATGCCGACATTGGATTGTGCTCAGCTTGGCCACGTCCCAGAGCAGCTCCCTCTTGGCCGCTCGAGGCTGATGCTCTGAACATGTGGCTCAGCGCGAGCATTTCAGGGCTTTACGAGTGCGCATGTGTGGACTGTTGAGTGTCAACAACTTCTTCTTGGTTCTTTCGGTAAAGTCACGTAGAAGGGAAATAATAAAATAATAAAAATAAAACATAATAAATAATTCTCACGACGTTTCGGCCACAACGCAAGCAGCCGTCCTCAGGTGAAGAACAGGTCTGTCGGAAAGACAGCGTCTGAAATTCAGAATTCTGTTGGAAGACAGCGTCTGAATTCAGAAATTCAGACGCTGTCTTTCCGACAGACCTGTTCTTCACCTGAGGACGGCTGCTTGCGTTGTGGCCGAAACGTCGTGAGAATTATTTTATTATGTTTAATTTTTATTATTTTATTATTTCCCTTCTACGTGACTTTACCGAAAGAACCAAGAAGATGAATCCCTGCAGTCACGAAAGCTTTAAATCGAAATGTCAACAACTTGTACAGTACACTATATGCAATCTCTTCATTGGTTCAGCCACGGAGGCGAGATGTTGTCTCCGTCGCCTGGTTTGCAGGAGGAATATATAGGTTCGATCCCGACCCTGACGATGCCTGTATTATATTTGGAGTTTTGCGTGTTCTCGCAGTCGCGTTACGCGTGGATTTATCTCTGGGTCCTCTGGTTTTTCACCTCCACGTTTAGATACATGCGTTTAGTTTAGATTATTTGGCGACTATAAATTCCCTTGTGATATAAGCCATTTCGACGAGTGACCACGTGTGGGCAGGTCGCCTCTGAAAAAGAGCTAATAGCTCAAAGGGCTGTACCTGGAATAATAAAAAAAGGAGTTAAGTTAGTGTATACAGTAGTTTTCAAGTGCAAAATAATGTCAAGTGTACGCAGCCAGAGATCTTAAGATATCACTCGATGAAAGTCAGTTGAGGTGGATTCCTTCATGTCTGTTGACATTATCACCGGATGCTGTTTAACATAATACACTGGGCATGCTCACTTGATATTGTATAATCAGTGTTTCTTTTGGTTTGACAAAGTGTTTTTATGTATTTACACTTGTTTTTTTTAGAAACAAACGAAACTTGCAGCTTGAAGGATGGAGGGAGATGAGAGTAAGGTGGACGCTGCTGAGGAGGAGGTTGCAGAAACTGTGGACGTGGAAATGAGTGCCGTTGTGAGCGGCACGGAGGCAGGAGCAGAACCAGTGGTACTCCTACACCATTCTCGGCATTGTGGCATTTCCATAGAGAAGGAGGTCCTGCATATAAATTGTGACGGAGTGGAAGGCTTGTCTCTGTGATCACATTTCATTCTTTTGATCAGACCCTCAATGTTCATTCCAAGATATTAGGTTTGAATAGAATGTGTATTCTGATGTGATGATCAAAGCCCTACATGTTAAGATTTTCACATCATTTATAAATATAACATATCTGAGGCCCTTCTGTTGTTACCCATGCCTTCCTTTGATAACCTATCATGCCTTCGTGATTAACAAAAAATGACTTCATTGATGATAATCATCATCAATTGTGTTCTTTCAGGCAGAAGATTCCAGCTCCACAGGTAGCGGAGAGGACGAGCCTGTGTCAGCCAACCCTGATGGTGTGGATGCCAAGGAGGTTGTCAAGGAGGATGTCAAGGAGGTTGTCAAGGAGGATGTCAAGGAGGATGTCAAGGAGGTTGTCAAGGAGGATGTCAAGGAGGTTGCCAAGGAGGTTGCCAAGGAGGTTGCCGAGGAGGTTGCCAAGGAGATTGCCAGGGAGAATATCAAGGAGGATGTCAAGGAGGATGCAAAAGAAGATGCAAAGGAAGAGGCCAAGGATGATTCCAAGAAGGATGCCCTGAGCACAGCCGACACCAGCGAGGGTCCAGGAGAGACGCAGACAGCTCAGCACCACGCGGAAACGACCAGAACCCAAGCCGGGTTCCCCTTCCCCCGTGGAACCAGACACCCAACCGCAGCCACCACAAGAGGTGCCTGGCATTGTCGATATCCGTCATAATTCCCATTATGGCCTAATCAGTTTTGCATGTTTGGAACATGCACCGGCAGTGTATTTTTGAACGTCCGCTGACGGAAGAGCAGCCATGATGAGAACCAGTAATGTGAGAAGATCTTAATGTCTGAGTGTCCGTGTCTTTTTTTTTATTTGCACAGGTTATCTCTAAAAGATGACTTTGAATATTCTCAGCCTTCTTGTGAGCTCTCGCATGTATTTTACTATCAGTACAGTTGAGACATCGATTGTGTCCTGATAATTGTTTTGTGTGGGAAAACTAAATTCGACTCACCAGCTCACATCGTCTTAACCTTATAATGTGTGTCACAAATCTCAAAATTTCTATCATCGTAGCATTGCATTTTTGCTCGTTCTTTGCAGGCATTAGCTGGATGTATGTTGAACTCTTACGTACTGTGCGAAATAAGTTCAACGTACACACGACCCACAGAATGAATGAATTTGCTGGTGGCTGTGATTTGTTGGTTAGGCTTCTCAAGGAGGGGCTGGGGGTCGTGGGCAGCTGGGGAAAATCCCTTCTTACCTCCGCAACTGCAACAGTCTCCTCCGTTGGTGAGTCTCGCGTTATTTCACAACGTGCACATTTACACCATTTGCATCCAATGTGTGATTTTTTTCAGCAAATATCGTTGAACGTTTCTAGCGGTTTCCTCTAAGTTTTGAAATTTTAGTCGAAAAATAGTTTGAACTAAATAAAAATAAGCGTAAAATGCACTTCATTTAAACCATAAAAGAGTATCCACTTGAAAATAAGATAATTGCCAATTTGAACAAGTTTCAGATGAGTGTAATTATTATTTTTAACTTCAAGGTAAGTAATCCAAGCAGGAGGGAGTGGTGTCATTAGCTTTGTGATGCACTTTAGATAAATGGTCAACTGTGTAAATCATAGGGGAAACAAATATCCATATGAAGGGTATGAGTCTGACATTTCGTGTTTTATGTGACTTTACTCCTGCGCTTGTTACCGTACCTGTAGGCCATGGAATAACACACGTCATGGAAAAAGCCGAAGCTTCTCTGGGCATCCCAACACCGGCTGATCTTTCGGCAGATCAGAAGCAGGCCGAGGATGCTGCAGTGGAGACCACCACCCCACCAAATGAGTCAGGTACCTCGACAAGGAATGTGCTGACTTGCACCATGAGTTCAGTACCATATGTGTCATACGTCACCGTGTGTTGGCCTGTGCATTGACCTACATATTTAATTGTTTTACTCCTGCCAAACCCATAAGAAGTTTGAACTCCTTGGGTTTTCTTACAGCGACGGAGGCAAGCGGCAGCCCTGTGGTGGAAGGGCAAGGGAAACCAGTTTCACCGACGGGTGGGGCGTTCGGCATGCTGTCTAAATACGGTGGCATGACTGCATCCGCGATTACAAATGCTGTGCAGAATACGGTAGCTCATCTCATTTGAAATCCACATCGGTGCATTTTTACACGCCTTGCATTTAGCCCATTGACCGTGTTCAAAATCACGACTCCTTTCTCCACGTGTTGGTGTAGAGCAAGACCGTCATCACTGGTGGCCTCGATGCACTTGAGTTGATTGGCAAGAAGACGATGGACATCTTGGCGGAGGGGGATCCTGGTTTTCGGCGTACAAAGGGTCTTCTGCACAAGACGACCACCCTCTCTCAGGTCAGAGACTCACAGGTGGATGTTGTGGAGGTACTGGCCAGTTGTGGTTAAGCAGTGCCTCATAAATGAAAACTGTAAACATTTTATTAAAACTATAAACTATTTAATTTAATTAGGTAAGGCTCTCACTGAGCTATATAAAACAGAACATAAAAGGTTAAAAAATATTTTTTTTTCAGAAGTGACCTGGCCACAAATGATAGTTCAACGAAGTGGCTTATCATTTGGAAACGTATAGCAGCCAAACACTCGTTAGCGCATGTTTCTCAATGTGTCGGGAACAACCGAGGACGTGGAGAACAATCCACACGACCAAGGGGAGAACATGCAAACTCCAAATATACAGGATTCAGGGTCGGGATGGAACCCACGCCCTCCTTATTTACCAGGCGAGGTAGTTAACATCTCGCCAAAGCAGCGCTCCAAATCATCATCATGTCCTTGTGGCATTACATGGAAAAGAAAGGACACAATGGTGTTAAAGTGAGGTACAGGCAAGGATCTAACTGGATGTTCGCGTGTTTTCAAAGTGTGTTTAATTGCATTGTCATGCCATGTGGTTGACCATAGGTCCTGCGGGAGGCCAAGGAAAAGGAGGAGCAACGTCTGTCTCAGGAAGGTGCGGCCGGGGTGATTGGTGATGGGAAGAAGGCCCACTATGGCCTCCTCTTCGATGAGTTCCAGGGCTTGTCTCATCTGGAGGCCCTGGAAATACTGTCCAATGAGAGTGAGAACAAGGTACATGTGATGCAGGAGCACAGCCACTGTGCGTGTTGTGAGTGTCTGGACATTAACATTTTTAAAATATGCCTAAGAGACACCTACAACAGTTTGTACAAACGTGGTATTTTTGAGTGTGTGGTTTTATTTGTTCTACGTGGTGACATGCATATTATGCTGTTGATAAAACCTTTAAATACAGGTATCCCATGATTTATGAACGTTAAGTTTACGAAATGTTGCGTTCACACAATTGACAAATTGTGGACACTTTTCGATTCACGAAATCGAATTTCCGAAATTTCACACGGCACACGCCATGAGGTCAAACAAGAAGCACCCGGGAGGTTGCATCATCCATCCACGACAGCGTCACGGCACCCCTTCAGTGCGACAGTAATGCATTTCTATTGGCGCGTTTCATGAAAATTGTAATTTTTTTATAAATTTATTTTATTCAATCGCTTTAATATTTATGTTCATTATTATTGTTAAATTGTGAAAAGTGATATAGCTGAATATTTATGTTAGGAGTAGAGTTGGAATGACTGTCTGAAACACATCCCCAATATTTTGTATAAATTAATGGGAAAAACCATTCCGATGTACGAAATTTTGTTCTACGCGTGTTTTTTGGAAGAACGCATTCCTTTCATAAATCGACGGGGGATACCTGTACACAGTAGCATCTGCACAGACTGAGTTGTTGTATGGATTTTGTATAATTATTCGTACAGTAGAACTTATTTGCGAGTCTGTTACCTGCAACTCCTATTATCTGCGGCACCTCTGGATGTGGGACTTCCCCCCCCCCCGCCAACTTCCAAACTGCGGCTGCATCCCTAATGCGAAGCCAGCACTCATTTCTATTATAATTACACATGTGACCTCATTTAAGTGTCAAAAGTATGTTTCGTGATAGTGTACCAAGGACAAATCTGCATTCTATGGCTTACATGGCTTTCGGTAGTAGGACGCTTTATTTGTGGAATGTCTTGCCCCAGGCCGTTAGGGACACTCCGTCAGCCGAGGTTTTTTAAGACCCGTCTGAAAACACATTTACTTTCTCTTGCATATCCATCTGCGTAGAGTTGTTTTACTCTAAGTTTTAATGTTAAGGGTTTTTACTGGGATTGTGTTGTAAAGCGCTGTGAAGCCGTGTGTGAATGGCGCTATGTGCTTTACTTACTTTGGTATCGATTGCATCTTTAAAAACAAATCTCACGGAAATGTCTGCAAGAACTTAAAATGTCCGCTGGTGTGCGCTATGTAGGTGCAGGCCGTGATAGCGGCATTGTCGGGAGAAGACCTGGATCGCACTCGGCATGAGTTGGAGCAGATTAAATCTGCGCTCGCCCTGGAGGAGTTGGACGAAGAGGTGGAGGCCACCGACGAAAAAGGTGCTGTGGTTAGCACCCACAACCGTTTAAAATGTTTTCGTATGACATGGGACTGACTTTCAGTCTCAATTTTACTTATTATAGCCATCATAGTCGACACAAATCTGGAGCTGGGATGTCCCGATTGTTGAAATGATGGAGTATTGGTACGATTATTTGACTAACGCGCACTCCATATGTTTTCAGGAGAAGAGGGCCATGATTTTGTGAACGTCATAACTGAGCTCCTCTTCAGCCTTCACGTTGGGGTCACACCGGACAAACTCAACAAGGTAAACGCCTGCAGGCTGCAGGGAGTGCAGAACGCGTTCAAAGTGATGCCGACGTTGGTTTGTAAAATAAGATGCACACACCTGAGTGGTAAAATTCTCGCGTGTGACTCAGGCGAGAGAAAAAGCGGACACCTGGCTGAGGGAAGTGGGCGAGGAGACTCTGAAGGAGGAGGAGGAGGAGAAGAATGCGGAGGAGAGCCCGAAACAGAAGAAAACCGTGCAGGCAATAATAAGAAACCGACACGAGACAATTAACATTAACACACACACAGTAATAGAAGTGCCACTTTAGTAAACTTGATAAAAGTAGAAGAATCGGCATTGTTGGTGCAGTGCCACGCTAACGTGTAGCTAAACGACGCCTGGCAAATGTCTTGTGCACACGCATCGCATGCAGTCATAATTTCGTCAACGAAATTACTGATGAAGGTTATTTGTCAACAAAGTGTGTTTTGTTTTTATCCAACGATGTCTGAGTGGACAAATCCTCAAGCATGATGATGACTAACACCCAAGCGTAACTGACTTTGACGAGATGACTGGTGAAATTAGCGAGTCTGTATGAAAACATAGACTAAGATAATTTTGTTTATGTAATTCGAGACTGCAGTGCACAGAGGAAGACTGATAATGGTAATTTGCTATATATGTCGGAAATAATTTTTACTCTGATCACTGCCTGTGTGACCTGATAAAACAGGGGTGAGGGGAGGAAGCACGTACCCCTAACGCCCATATTTATTAACCAAGGGTGGACTAACATTTTGACTGCTTTAGATATTTCGATTTAAAGCTTTCGTGACTGCAGGGATTCATCTTCTTGGTTCTTTCGGTAAAGTCACGTAGAAGGGAAATGATAAAATAAAAAATATATTCTTATGTTTTATTTTATTATTTCCCTTCTACGTGACTTTACCGAAAGAACCAAGAAGATGCTTTAGATATATAAGCGAATGGCTAAATCAAAGCTACAGACGCCTAAAAAACTGGACTCAAAATGCACAGCTTATCATCAACTAGCCTATCCCTATGACCGAGACAGCATGCCGGCTCAATTAACGCTTATTGCACCAATGGCTCCGGCCCTGGGTGTTGCAGGACATCCATGGCTTGTGCATCGAGAGCCTGGCGGAGGTGACCGCTCGCTCCATAGAGCAGTTCCACAAGGCCGGGGAGCTCATCCTGCACGGCACGGAGCAGGAGCACACAGCCCTGCAGAGGGCGCACAGCCTCACCAGGCGAGTCCACACGCCGCCGCCCACCCCCTTGCGTGCCAGAGGTCGCAAACGGGTTTTGATTCCTTACCCGTACCCGGCCGCACCAGGGTCGCCAACGGGTACCCGTACCCGGCCGTACCCTACCCGTACCCGGCCGGGTACGGGTAGGGTACGGGTATCGGGTACCTGATTGCAACCTCTGGGATGAAGCCATGTTGCAGGCGCGGGTGGGTTGATTCTAGGAACTTGAATTGTGAGAAGAGACAAGACGTTGGGAAATGCGTGACAAACGGTTACTCACCAGTGACTCACGGCCTACCCGTACCCGTACCCGGCCGCACCAGGGTCGCAAACGGGTACCCGTACCCGGCCGGGTACGGGTAGCCGAGTATTGGGTAGGTTGCGTGCCTCGCGTGGCTCGACAGTGTCACCGCCCCTGTGTCACACGTTCACTGCTTGTTTCAGTGCTTCGTGGTTTGAGCATTAGCGGGTTCCCTGTTTAACAATGGGGCGCGGAAGTATTAGACGCACGTACAAGCCGACTGCTTTCACGATGGACATCAAGGATGTTGTGTGTGTAGCAGGCGCGTGTGCTGGTCCAAATTGATCAAATAGCTTTCAGATTACGCAAATTGGTCAAAACCACACTGCTGTTCCTGTGCCGGTGTTTCAGTGCCGGGACAGAAACGGCAGCACGGCCTGAGTCAACAAAACGCTGCGTGAGCTGTGTGGCTTCGTAGGATCAGCACCTACCGCTCCGTTCTCCCACTCGCCGCCTTTCCCCCACCACACTCCCTGAATGCGGGGTGGGAGTTGAGAAGCAGTCTTACTGAGCATACTTCACCGTATTGATGAGTGTGTGTTGGTGAATGCGGGGAACATAGACATGGTAACATTGAATTACAGGACAATGGATGTTGGCTACACTGCCCTTTTCTGCCCATGCGTTGGCTCACCGTACCTGTTATGCATTGTTGTTGCCCATCCATTCACTATCCGGGCGTATGCTGGGTGATTTGATCATTGGCCTTTACTTATAATGGTGGCAGTTGCCACCGACTCATAATTTCCCTTCAAGTCCTGAAGAAACACCGATTAAAATATCAATCAATTTACCAATTATAGTGACAAATTAACAAGCTGATTTCGCCCCCTCCGTAGACCAGTATTGAACTATGGATGTCGGCGCTGTTATTTCAGATTTTTTACGAGGATTTTTAGATCTCTGGAGTCATTTAGCCCACTTAGTAACGTGTGCAATGTTGTGTACTTTCTTTGCTTCTTTCAGGACAAGTGGTGCATCTATGTCTTGGTGTGCTCACAGGAAAACATAACTGCCATTTTATTTGATTGTAGGTTAACAGTGGTCTTGTGCAAGGAGTTGTCGACGCTTTCAACAAAGTTTACAAACTGCTTGAGCACCGTTGGGGTAAGAAAACATCCCTTAAATTTCGATTTAAAGCTTTCGTGACTGCAGGGATTCATCTTCTTGGTTCTTTCGGTAAAGTCACGTAGAAGGGAAATAATAAAATAATAAAACATTTACATCATAACATACAATTCTCACGATTGTATTTTATTATGTTTTATTTCATTATTTTATTTTTTCCCTTCTACGTGACTTTACCGAAAGAACCAAGAAGAAACATCCCTTACTTTATGAATCACACCAATCTAATAATGGATTTTATTACTTCAGCCATTGTATGACACTCTCTGCCGTTTGAGTCGGTGTCCTTTATCACGATCACTCGCATTCGATGAGTAATGACTTCATCTGTCATCACAGGCTCACGAGAAGTCAGAGGTGCTGAATCCACTCATCACCAGCATTTTCTTGGAGGTAAGCTTACCCCGTGAACATGCACACAGTGTGCGATGCACCGAATGTCCAATTCACCTGTGGCTCCGGCATATAATAGGCATTTATTGTATTCGAATACATTGTTTATAGTAATGAAGAAATTCCTATGGGAGCAAAGTCCACACGATGTTCAATTCAGCTCAATTCCGTGCTGTCTGGTCCCTTTCCTCCATTAAAGATGTGTCTTAGTCTGCAAGAATCCTCACATCACCCCAATGTCTCTTTGATTTCCTCTTGACCTGTAGTGACATAACAAACGCTTCCTCATTTAATCGTTTGCTGCAATCCATGCACCCTATAACAAGGCATTTAATTAAAAGTAGATTTAAAGAAGACGGATCGTTATGGGTGTCTAGTTTAAGGATTTGTACGCTGCCGTGGCCGATGCTTTGCCAATGCTGATCTGACGGTTGTCCAAAAACGGACAAGAATATGCATTACCTTGTGCGGAGTAATACTTTAGCAGCCTAATAGCAGCAGCCTCATGTCGGGTAGGAAAGTGCAATCACGAGTTTTTGCTCATATCTATGCTCAACATTCCGATTATTTAAAACGACTGAAGGGCTGCCTATCAATGGCATGCAATGTCACATCACCCCAATGTCTCTTTGATTTCCTCTTGACCTGTAGTGACATAACAAACGCTTCCTCATTTAATCGTTTTGGGTACAGTAAAAGTCCTCTATTTACGTCGGGTATGCTTCCCGGGAAACCATGAGAATTTGTGCGAAACGACTTAAATATAAACTAAACTTTGTATTTTAGAAAGTAATGCCTCATTGAGTTCTATAGCTCTTTTTCAAAAGTGACCTGACCACATATGAAAGCTCAACGAAGTGGCTTATCACGTGGAAATTCACATCAGCCAAAAACTCTAAATGCACGTTGATTCTAAATGCGGAGAGAAAACCCGGAGGATCCAGAGAAAAAACACGCAAACTCCAAATATACAGCAGGCGTCACGGTCGGGAGCGAACCCATGACCTGATTACCAGGCGAGGTAGTTAACATTTAAATAAATCAGATAATTTATTTCAGTTGGCATATGAATGACTAAAATGAAGTGGACAAAAATAGTAATTTCCAGCACGGTTTTGCCATTCAGTTTTGTTTATTCTCATTTGTCTGTGCATGTGGTCCATACTTGAATTCCCTGTTTGGTCTGCTAATTGATTCCTTACGGAGCAGTTATCTCAAACACCCATTTGTTTTGACACTTCGAGATGTACTACATGGAACACGTGGTATAAATAATAAATTATGATGATAATAATTCACCCAGATACGCGTGATGCCTATGGCCAATCACCCAGGATGCACAAAATCTCATCAGATCTTGGCAGCTATTTGCCGTTGACTTAAGATTATATACATTTTGGATACGTTCCTGGGGGTCATTTTCATACAGAGATTGCTGCGGAGATTGCATGTAAAGAGGGTAGTGAAGCGTACAGTATGGCGATTTGTAAACACAGGCTTGAGCCCTCGCTCGAGGTCGCTGTGGGCGTAGCGCGCCGTCGTCGTTATGCACACGCGGCCCGTACGACTGCATTCTTTCAATTTCACGAAACAATGTAAGTGAAATTTCGATTTAAAGCTTTCGTGACTGCAGGGATTCATCTTCTTGGTTCTTTCGGTAAAGTCACGTAGAAGGGAAATAATAAAATAATAAAAAGAAAACATAATAAAATAATTCTCACGACGTTTCGGCCACAACGCAAGCAGCCGTGAAAATGTAAGTGAATCAACGTAAATAGGAGCAATTTCTCTGAGTTGCCTGTGATGTTTTTTTTCTTTCTCTGCCCACATCCTTTGCTATCCCCAACCTTCACCTACAACGCAGGCCTCAAACAGCACGACGTACATCCAGGATGCCTTCGCACTGTTGCTGCCCATACTACAGGTTTCTCACATTCGGCAAGATGTGGACAGTGCCTCCTCCTCCTCCTTCGCCTAAGGCTGATGATATGCTGAGTTGTAGCACACATCACTCCTGCGGTGTGCCGTCATGCCCCAAGTAAACTATAAAGGGATCAGCGGGAGTTGTGCTCTCTCGTGGACTGAACAAGAATGTGTTTGCACTCACCAGACCTTCCCAGTTCCCCTGGGTTTTTTGTATCACGTCTTGATGCATCGCAAAAAGATTGGCTATCAACGAGGACAGGTGGCATGGATTGCTAACACCTTTGTCTCAGTGTTGAGCCAGCACCTCTGGGATTGGTTCGAATCTCGGGGGGGGGGCCTCGATGAAAGATTAAACCACGTTCTCAAGTACAGCCGGATTTAAGTTCCTGACTGGCATTCTCAAGTGAACTTGCCGGACAAACATCTCTCGTACCTTGCGCTTGGCAAAACGAATGCTATTAAATTAAGAACAAACATCCGCGAAGAAAACCATTACCTTGTTTACATTAAAAAACACTACCATTACCACACCCATTGAAAGTAACGGCACAAAAGTTTGTTGAAAATCCAGTGGTTGGCATTTGCAGGCTTTTGATGTCCCTGTGTATCTTGACTGACTGAGGCCAAATTGATCGGCCAGTGTCAACTTGCCATGAGAGAGGATAATAGTAGGTTTTTACCCTTTTAACTGGTACAAAACTGACACCTTTATTCAAGGCATCATGTTTGCAATGACCACAACACAAGTAGTCAAAAAAGCAAACAAAAAGAAGCAACTCTGATAAGGATGATAACAGTGCATATTATCATCCTTATCAGAGTTGCTTCTTTTTGTTTGCTTTTTTGACTACTTGTGTTGTGGTCATTGCAAACATGATGCCTTGAATAAAGGTGTCAGTTTTGTACCAGTTAAAAGGGTAAAAACCTACTATTATATTTTGCCACTGGTAAAAGAGATCTCATAATGAGAGAGGATATTTGAAGTGTCTGTTATTTACGAGAGGCGATTGAATGTCTGTGGCCTGACATGGCGAGCAATAAGTGAAGCTTAGGAAATGTATCTTGACACACATTCTTGAAAAGGGCAATTAACTTAGGCCATTTGTTTCAGGGTTTTAACCCCTATCAGGATGGAATGTTCCTCTTGCTTCTTAAACCATTATTTCACAGCACGTAATTTCACTGCCACTGAAACATTTATTTTTCAGCAAATCACAATTTTTTTTTTCTTGCTTCTTTCGGTCAGGTCACGTAGAAGGAAAATAATAAAATAATAAAAATTGAAACATAATAAAATAATTCTCACGACATTTCGGCCACAACGCAAGCAGCCGTCTTCAGGTGGAGAACAGGTCTGTCGAGAAGACAGACCTGTTCGAGAAGACAGACCTGTCCTCCACCTGAAGACGGCTGCTTGCGTTGTGGCCGAAACGTGAGAATTATTTTATAATGTTTTATTTTTATTATTTTATTATTTTCCTTCTACGTGACTTTACCGAAAGAACCAAGAAGATGAATCCCTGCAGTCACGAAAGCTTTAAATCGAAATTTACACCACAACTTTGTAAACGGAAGTCACTTGTAGCCAGTATTGGGGGGATTTCTTCAATATGTTATGGATATCTTAAAATGTCTCCCCATATTCCTCTGAGGTCTAAATATTTCTCCACAATTCGGTTAACATAAAAAGCAAGGTTTCAAGTATCTATTCAAATGACCGGTATAATCCATTGCTATGAAATGCAATACTGCTTTAACATTGCAAACTTATACAGCGAAACGTGTCCCCGTTTTGTCGTAGCACCAATACTTTGTGAGGCTCCAGATTATTCGATCGGTGTGAGTGTCGTGCCTGTGCGTGGCCATTCTGGTTTTAAGCCCACGCGCAGTTGCAAACAAACATCGAGGTGCTGATTTTGAGAATGTGGCCCCTGTGGCTGCCAAATGAGCAAACCACTCCAGCAAGGTGAATGTTTTAATAATGAAAGAAAGGAAAATTTATAAAGGACCTCTGACCACCCAATTTTATAAGCTGCTGCAATAATATTTTGTTTTTTTTTACGTTTGTATGACCGCGTCTGTTTTCTTTCCGAGGTAATTGCCATTGGAAGTCTCAGATAATGACTTGTCAAATGTATCAACTTGTTCACCTGCGCTGTAGGCAAGAATGGAAGCGCTTTCGGCGCATAGGAAATATGTCGGTGGATCCCAAGTGGGTAGAGAAATTGAAAATGAGGCCAGTGTGGAAGAAATGTTTGTCCAACCTAATTCCTCTCAATCCTGTGCAGCGTAGCAATGTTGCTGCTTCTGTTACCTTGCACAATAAATAATGGGTTAAGGAAAATAAACAAAAATGAAAATGTTCCGCCTGACGCATGCTTTTGCAGAAACATCCACAGAACATTGCTTATTGCCACTAACAGGCGAATCAGGCCCTGTTTGTCATTGAGCAACAGAGACATTGTTTTAATACAATCATTGCTTAGGAATTGCTGTACTGTGTTTAGTAAATATTCAGTTGTATCGCAATGATTTTTTTGGATTGTGTTGTTCCCGTTTGTTGACAGTGTAAGTTCTCCAAGTTTCCTTTCTAATTTTTGTCTTTTATTTTCAAGCATCGCTACTAATTCCATGTTGCTGCAAGTTTCAAGTACGAGTGCTGACATTCTTAACACATTCAACTCTTTTAACGTGAAGTCATTTGATGTACCTTACCCGTGCTGATGAATCAAACATTTTGATACGATACATTGTTCTTGTGAAATAAGTTCAAGAGGTTTCAAATGTATAACACAAGTAGGTGGCTGGGATGTTCATTGTAGACTGTGTACGTTGTTTGCACCAGGCATGTCAGTTTCTGTGTTGAAATCATGGTTCCCTTTTGACGTGCGTAGAGTTTGTCTTATTCACCAATGATTACGCAACCGAAGACGATCCTATGCAATAAATGCAGCCTTACCCAAACACTAAAGGGAAAAACATGTTTGCAAGACAAAAGCAAAGCTGCAATCCTCGCACCCTATAACAAGGCATTTAATTAAAAGTAGATTTAAAGGAGACGGATCGTTATGGGTGTCTAGTTTAAGGATTTGTACTCTGCTGTGGCCGATGCTTTGTCAATGCTGATCTGACGGTTGTCCAAAAACAGACAAGAATATGCATTACCTTGTGCGGAGTAATACTTTAGCAGCCTAATAGCAGCAGCCTCATGTCGGGTAGGAAAGTGCAATCACGAGTTTTTGCTCATATCTATGCTCAACATTCCGATTATTTAAAACGACTGAAGGGCTGCCTGTCAATAGCATGCAATGTATTTTATTGACCTGTGTTTGAAACCTATAAATAAATAAAAACTTCAATTCTCCTTATGTAGCTTTTTGGGCATCGAGGTATTTTTTTAAATGTAAAACTATGTTTTATATAGTTACAGATTTTTTTCGGAATTACATTTGAAATGGAAAATGCAATGTGTTGTTTTCTGACGTGAGCATTGTTTCTAGATTTGAAGCTTTCGTGACTGCAAGGATTCATATTCTTCGGTTTTTTCGGTAAAGTCACGTAGGAAATTTTTTACATTTTAATTAATAAAAGTAAAATAAAAATAAAATAAAAATCACGACGTTTTGGAGGCAACACAAGCTTCCGTCTTCAGGTGGAACCGTCACAGCACGATAGCTCTATCAAGTGAGCATTGTTGATGGAGTATTTTGTTCACTTACGAAAGGCATACGGAATGCAACCGATTCCTCTGTGCAGGCTGTCTTGGTAGAGAGTATTCTAACCAGAAGCCTTCCTGACCACGAAGTGTCAGTGCTTACATCTTGTGTTGTATTTTGCTTCGTGTCAATTATGTTTGCTAGATGGTGCCCTTCACTTGGTCCACCATCACCTATTAAGTAAGATTACACAACTATCGAACGGAAACAAAAAATCAACATAAAATAATTGAAATGTGAGGTCAAAATACAGCAGACTTGAATACCCTTGTCAGACCATTCGCTTCAAACTATTGGTTCCTCCCTACCCGCACTACAACTAAACATCGACAGAATATCTCGTTCCAAATGTGGGTATCAAGCTGTGAAACCCACTTTGAAATGCAACTAACCAGCGACCCGATGTATAAGACCTGCATATCACGCAACAGCATCAGTCCACCACCTAAGAAATGCCATCGCTGCTTGTGCGAAAAAACTATAAACAGCGATAGCCTAACTTTCTGACCTTACTACAAGCCACACAACAAAATCGTATCATGGTCAAAATCCTCAAAAGACAGCTCGAGTGAAAGGAAAACAACGTGTGGAGTTGGTCACTTCAGGTAGTGAACACGGGTCGGTTTGCTGGCGACGTTTGGCAGTTTTGAATTTAGAAGTCTGCAGAAGCTTCCTTGGGAGTGCTCATTTCTGCCTCGGCCAGGAGTGATTTTAGATGGTTCCGCTCCTACTTCCGAAGATTTTTTTTGTCCTGTTTTGTACAGACTCGAATTGAAAAGTCTTTGAACTGCAGAACCACATGGGGCTTTTTTTTTATAAGGGACTATAATTTTGGACTTTGGCCGCCGAAATTCTAGCTCCTGCAAAGGGCTTCTCGCCCGTCGCCCCCACTGATGTCCTCTTCACCCCCCACCCCCCCCCCCCCCCCATGTGTGCAGATACTACTGGGTTGTACCTCAACGTTCATCATTAGATGCAAAGAGAAATGTACAAAATTCAAATGTCTGTGTTGGTATTTTATTCGCCTGTTTACCACCAGCCTTGACCACACCAAACCGAGCAGTCAAACTGAGACGTCTGAACATCAGTGGTGGGGGGGGGCGGTGAGGGTGACAGACGGATGTTGACATAAATGCCGACAAAATAAATCTCGACTCTATTGTATGTAGGGTGTGTAGGCAGAGGCCTATAAAATACATTTTTTTGGGGGGGGGGATCAACTTTTTACCCCCACAGTTGGGGAGGGGTCCACTTTCTAAAACTTTTTAATTCAGGCCTCATGAAACGCTCTAATAATTTAGTTGACGGACACCGGGCTTTTATAATAAAAAAATAT